GGGGCAGCAGGGGGTCAGGGGGGGACAGGGCTGGGGACAGGGGGGGGACACGGCCAGCACTGGGTCCAGGGGGTTCCCTGCCCTTGGCTTGCTTTTCCCATTTGCAGCTGATTTTTGTCTGTTCCTACTTTAGTTTTCCCATTTTCAGGTAATTTTTGTCTGTTCCTTTGGTTTTCCCATTTTCTGCTGATTTTTGCCTTCTCCCGCTTTGGTTTTCCCATTTTCAGATGACTTTTTTTCCCTCTCTCTGCCTCAGTTTCTCTGTCTCCAGGTGGTCTTTCACATTTTCTCCATTTCAGCTTACTTTTCCCCATCCCTGCCTCAGTTTCCCCATTTTTAGGTCATTTTCCCCTATTCCTGCCTCAGTTTCCCCATTTCCACTCAATTTTTCCTTATCCCTGTTTTGGTTTTCCTCATTTCCAGGCCATTTCCCCTCCCCTGCCTCAGTTTCCCGAAGTTAAATCTCATTAAAACTCTTTTTTTTTGGCTTTTTTTTTCACTTTCCTGCCTCATTTTCCTCATTTCCAGGCCATTTCCCCTCCCCTGCCTCAGTTTCCCCAGCTCCAGAGCCCACTTCCCTCCTCCCCTCCCCCTCGCAGCCCCCGGGGTGGGGCGGCCCCTCCCCCGCGGTGTCCCCAGGTGTCCCCCCAGGTGTCCCCCCAGGTGTCCCCAGGTGTCCCCACCTCGTCTGTCCCCAGGCACGCCGATTTCCTCTTCCGGCCGGGCTGCGCCGCCACCGCCCGGCGCGCGGAGCCGTTCTGGGGGAGAGAAACCCCCAAAATCACCCCAAAACTGCCCCAAATCACCCCAAAACTGCCCAAAACACCCCGAAATCACCCCAAAACTGCCCCAAATCACCCCAAAACTGCCCAAAACACCCCGAAATCACCCCAAAACTGCCCCAAATCACCCCAAAACTGCCCAAAACACCCCGAAATCACCCCAAAACTGCCCCAAATCACCCCAAAACTGCCCAAAACACCCCGAAATCACCCCAAAACTGCCCCAAATCACCCCAAAACTGCCCAAAACACCCCGAAATCACCCCAAAACTGCTTACTGGTGTTACTGGGGTGTTACTGGTGTCACTGGTGTTACTGGGTGATGCTGGTGTTGCTGGTGTTACTGGTGTTACTGGTGTTACTGGTGTGTTACTGGTGTGTTACTGGGTGTTACTGGGTGTCACTGGTGTGTTACTGGGGTGTTACTGGTGTTACTGGGGTGTTACTGGTGTCACTGGTGTTACTGGGTGATACTGGTGTTACTGGTGTTACTGGTGTTACTGGTGTGTTACTGGTGTGTTACTGGGTGTTACTGGGTGTCACTGGTGTGTTACTGGGGTGTTACTGGTGTTACTGGGGTGTTACTGGTGTCACTGGTGTTACTGGGTGATACTGGTGTTACTGGTGTTACTGGTGTTACTGGTGTGTTACTGGTGTGTTACTGGTGTTACTGGGAGGCTCACCTGGGGGAACACGGAGGCCTGCGAGGTCTCGGTGGGGGCGGGGACGGGCGTGGCCGGGGACACCACCTCCACCTTGCGCTTCTGGGACCAGTTCAGACCAGTTCAGACCAGTTCAATTCATCCCAGTCCATCCCAGTCCCTCCCAGTCCCCCCCAGTCCCTCCCAGTCCATCCCAGTGTTCCCAGTACACCTGAGGAAGGGGAGGCTCAGGGGACACCTGGCTGTGGGGACAGGGATGGGGACAGGAACACCCTGGGGACAGGGAGAGTGGTGGGGACCCCTTGGGGACAGGGACACCCGGGGGACAGGGACAGGGACACCCTGGGGACACCATGGGTGACAAAACCGGGACTTGCCGGGGGCGATTTCCGGGGCCACTTTTGGGGCCAGCTGGGGACCCTGGGGACATTTGGGGCCATTGGGGACACCAGAGATACTGGGGACCCTGGGGACATCGGGGACCCTGGGGACATTTGGGGCCATTGGGGACACCAGAGATACTGGGGACCCTGGGGACATCGGGGACCCTGGGGACATCTGGGGACATTGGGGACACTGAGGACACTGAGGCCATCTGGGACATTTAGGGCCATTGGGGACATTTGGGAACACCGGGGACCCTGGGGCCATTGGGGACCTGGGGACATTTGGGACCATTTTGGGCCATTGGGGACCCTGGGGCCATCTGGTGACATCTGGGGACATTTAGTGACCCTGGGGCCATCTGGGGACATCTGGGGACATTTAGTGACCCTGGGGCCATCTGGGGACGTTTGGGGCTACCGGGGATCTGGGGGCCATTGGAGCCATGGTGGACACTGGGGACATTGGGGACCCTGGGGCCATCTGGTGACATCTGGGGACATTTAGTGACCCTGGGGCCATCTGGGGACGTTTGGGGACCCTGGGGCCACCGGGGGTTACCGTGGGGCGCTGGGGGGGCTCGGCCTCGCTCTCCTTGGGCAGGTGCAGGCGGAGCGTGATGGGCCCCGGCCCTGCTGGTGGCCCTGCTGGTGGCCCCGCCGGTGGCCCTGGTGGCCCCGCTGGTGGCCCTGCTGGTGGCCCTGGCAAACTCTTCCCGCTGGCGGGGGCCACCGGCAGCGCCAGCTCCAGGCTCTTCCTCTGCGCCGGGAGGAAGAGGAGGGTTTAGGGGGACACGCAGGGGACACGCAGGGGACAAAGCCACCGCGGGCTCGGGGACCCTCCCGGCACCCCCCCGGGTCCCCTCCCTGGGGACAGCCCTGGGTGGCCCCAAGGGCTCCTAAAGGGGTGGGGGTGGTCTTGAGGGGACAGGGGTGTCCCCAGGGGGGCAGGAATGTCCCCAAGGGGGCAGGGGCATCCCCAAGGGGGCAGGAATGTCCCCAAGGGGGCAGGAATGTCCCCAAGGTCCCCTTAGAGGGGTCAGGGATGTCCCCAAGGGGGCAGGAATGTCCCCAAGGGGGCAGGGGCGTCCCCAAGGGGGCAGGAATGTCCCCAAGGGGGCAGGGGCGTCCCCAAGGGGGCAGGAATGTCCCCAAGGTCCCCTTAGAGGGGTCAGGGGTGTCACCAAGGGGGCAGGAATGTCCCCAAGGTCCCCTTAGAGGGGTCAGGGGTGTCACCAAGGGGCAGGGATGTCCCCAAGGTCCCCTTAGAGGGGTCAGGGGTGTCACCAAGGCATCAGAGACGTCCCCAAGGCCCCTTAAAAGGGTTAGAAATGTCCCCACGGTGCCCTCAGAGGGATTGGAGATGTCCCCATGGGGTCAGAGATGTCCCCATGGGGGTCAGAGATGTCCCCAAGGTCCCCTAAAGGAATTGCAGGTATCCCCAAGGGGTCAAGGGTGTCCCCAAGGTCCCTCAAAGGGGTCAGAAATGTCCCCAGGGTCCCCTAAAGGAGCTGGGGATGTCCCCAAGGGTGGCCCCTGGGTGGGTCCTGGGGATGTCACCACCCCCCAAGGGGTGTCCCCAGGGGATGTCCCTGCCGTGGGGGGTGAGTGTCACCCCACGACGGGGTTTGGGGACTCCAGGTCTGTCCCCAACGGCTCCGAGTGTCCCCTGTCCCTGTCCCCACGTCCCCCCACTGTGTCCCCTCAGTGCTGGCCTTGCTCAATCCCCCTGTCCTTGCACCTGGTGTCCCCAAACTCTGTCCCTTGCTGCCACACCTGCTCTCCTGTCCCCACGATGTCCCCTGTCCCCATCCTGCTGTTCCCAGAGCTCTCTGTCCCTCCGGTGTCCCCTCGATGTCACTCGTCCTCCCAGTGTTCTTTGTCATCTCTTTCCCTCGGTCCCCTTTTCCCTGGTGTCCCTCCATGTCCCCCCCATGTCCCCTCCTGTGTCTCCCATGTCCCCAAGTGTCCCAATGTCCCCTCCCCTTGTTCTCCCCCATGTCCCTCACCGGATACCAGTGTCCCCTCATATCCCAATGTCCCCTCATGTCCCCCTGTCCCGTGTCTCACTGTGTCCCTGTCCCCCTGTCCTGTCTCACTCACCATGTCCCTGTCCCCTGTCCCATTGTCCCTCACCATGTCCCTGTCCCCTGTCCCCCAGTGTTCCTCACCACGTCCCCGTCCCCCGTCCCATTGTCCCTCACCATGTCCCTGTCCCCTGTCCCTGTCCCCTGTCCCCCTCACCATGTCCCCTGTCCCCCCAATGTCCCGGTGTCCGTCCCCGTGTCCCTGTCCCCTGCCCCCCCGGTGTCCCCATTCCCTGTCCCCTCCGGTGTCCCCCCTGTCCCCCCAGTATCCCCGTGCCTCCCCGTGTCCCTGTGGTCCCGGTGTCCCCCCGGTGTCCCTCACCGTGTCCCTGTCGGGGGAGCCGGGCCGTGACCCGGGCAGGCCGTTCTTGGTGGGGGTCTTGGCCTCCTTGCGGGGCACCTGCACCCGCTTCAGGTCCAGCCGGTCGTGGGTCACCCACTCGTCCAGGCGCTTGTTGACTGGGGACAGGGACACGCGGTGACAATGTGCCACCCCGGGTCACTACCCAGCCATGGGGGCACGCGGTGACAATGTGCCACCCCGGGTCACTACCCAGCCATGGGGGCACGCGGTGACAATGTGCCACCCCGGGTCACTACCCAGCCATGGGGGCACGCGGTGACAATGTGCCACCCCGGGTCACTACCCAGCCATGGGGGCACGCGGTGACAATGTGCCACCCCGGGTCACTACCCAGCCATGGGGGCACGCGGTGACAATGTGCCACCCCGGGTCACTACCCAGCCATGGGGGCACGCGGTGACAATGTGCCACCCCGGGTCACTACCCAGCCATGGGGGCACGCGGTGACAATGTGCCACCCCGGGTCACTACCCAGCCATGGGGGCACGCGGTGACAATGTGCCACCCCGGGTCACTACCCAGCCATGGGGGCACGCGGTGACAATGTGCCACCCCGGGTCACTACCCAGCCATGGGGGCACGCGGTGACAATGTGCCACCCCGGGTCACTACCCAGCCATGGGGGCACGCGGTGACAATGTGCCACCCCGGGTCACTACCCAGCCATGGGGGCACGCGGTGACAATGTGCCACCCCGGGTCACTACCCAGCCATGGGGGCACGCGGTGACAATGTGCCACCCCGGGTCACTACCCAGCCATGGGGGCACGCGGTGACAATGTGCCACCCCGGGTCACTACCCAGCCATGGGGGCACGCGGTGACAATGTGCCACCCCGGGTCACTACCCAGCCATGGGGGCACGCGGTGACAATGTGCCACCCCGGGTCACTACCCAGCCATGGGGGCACGCGGTGACAATGTGCCACCCCGGGTCACTACCCAGCCATGGGGGCACGCGGTGACAATGTGCCACCCCGGGTCACTACCCAGCCATGGGGGCACGCGGTGACAATGTGCCACCCCGGGTCACTACCCAGCCATGGGGGCACGCGGTGACAATGTGCCACCCCGGGTCACTACCCAGCCATGGGGGCACGCGGTGACAATGTGCCACCCCGGGTCACTACCCAGCCATGGGGGCACGCGGTGACAATGTGCCACCCCGGGTCACTACCCAGCCATGGGGGCACGCGGTGACAATGTGCCACCCCGGGTCACTACCCAGCCATGGGGGCACGCGGTGACAATGTGCCACCCCGGGTCACTACCCAGCCATGGGGGCACGCGGTGACAATGTGCCACCCCGGGTCACTACCCAGCCATGGGGGCACGCGGTGACAATGTGCCACCCCGGGTCACTACCCAGCCATGGGGGCACGCGGTGACAATGTGCCACCCCGTGTCACCCCCCAGCCGTGGGGACACACCATGATAGTGTGCCACCCCCACGCTCACCCCAGCCCTGGGGACACACACGGTGACAATGTCACCCCAGTGTCACCCACGACCCCCCAGTGTACCCCCTGTGGTCCTCCCCGTGTCCCCACCCCGTTCCTGGGGACACTGCTGGGGACACACTGGGGGTGCCATTGAGGTGCTGCTCCCTCAGACACCTCTGTGTCCCCCCATGTCCCCACATGTCCCCATGTCCCCTCATCTCCCGTGTCCCCCCATGTCCCCACATGTCCCCATGTCCCTTTGTCCTCGTGTGTCCCCCCTGTCCCGTGTCCCCTGTGTCACTCACAGTCGATGTAGTGCACGTAGAACAGCTTCCTCCCGCTGATGTCCTTCACGCTCAGGATCTCGGCCAGCGCTGCGGAGAGGGGGGGTCACCAGCGAGCCCCTTCTGGGGACCCCCCCCAGGGACCCCAAACCCACCCAGGGACCCCCAAAACCGCCCCACAAACCCACCCAGCGATCCCCAAACCTCTCAGGGACCCCAAAGCCCACCCAGGGACCCCCAACACCCCCCCAGGAACCCCCCAAATCCACCCAGGAGCCCCAAAATTCACCCTGGGACCCCCAAAACCGCCCCATAGCCCTTCCAAAAACCCCCTCAGGGACCCCAACATCCCATCCTCAGGGACCCCCAAAACCTCCCGAGGACCCCCAAAGCCCACACAGGCATGCCCAAAAGAGCCTCGAGAATGCCCAAACTCCCAGCCAAGGACCCCCCAAACCCACCCACGGACCCCTAAAACCCACCCACGGTCCCCCCANCCCCCCATCCTCCCGTGCCCCCTCAGAGGCGGGGGGGGCGGCGCCGTTCGTGGAGATCCTGGAGCAGCCGAAGCAGCGCGGGATGAGGTTCCGCTACAAGTGCGAGGGGCGCTCGGCCGGGAGCATCCCCGGGGAGCACAGCACCGAGAGCACCAAGACGCACCCCACCATCCGCGTGAGTGTCCCAGTATGGACCAGTATAAACCAGTAACCTCCCCGAGCCCCCCCAGTGCCCCCCCAGTGCCCCCCCAGAGCCCAGGCCAGACCCTCACTCTGCCCCAGCCTCTCCCTGTTTTCCTGGCTTAGAGAGCACGGGGAGCTGCCAGGACTCCTCCAAAGAAAGCTGCTCGTGAGGCATCCAGCCTGATTTATTGATGTATCATTTTTAAAATTTCATCTCTATTGTGTTTCCATGGTGCTGAATTTTTACCTTTATAACTTTATCCTATGGGTTCTCTGTGAGTGAACATTATTGGAAATTGGGGAACCCCCCCAAAAGAGGGGGAACCCTCATAAAGAGCAGGTGGGATCACCCACAGGATTGGGGAACCCCCCTGTGGAGCAGATGGTATAATCCAAAATGGGGAAACCCACCCCCAAAATTGGGCAAATTCCCCCCCCCCAAAAACAGCAGGTGGGGTCACCCACAGGATTGGGGAACCCCCCTCCAGGGCAGGTGGTATCTCCCAGAATATTGGGGAACCCCCCTGTAGAGCTGATGGGATCACCCAAAATGGGGAACCCCCAAAAAAGAGCGGGGAAACCCCCCAAAAAGAGCAGGATCACCCACAGGATTGGGAACCCCCCTCCAGGGCAGGTGGTATCTCCCAGAATATTGGGGCATCCCTGGGAGCGCAGGTGGGATCACCCAAAAAAGGGGGGGAACTCCCAAAATACGGGACCCTCCCAGGACTCCTGGGAACCCCCAAAATTGGGGGTCTCTTCCCTGGAATGTCCGGGGGGGGGATCCCAAAATCCAGGTTGACCCCTGACCCCCCC